TGCGTTTTGCCCATGTCGTTTGGATCAGAGCCCCACTGTGGCCCGGGGGGTTTCGAAGTAAAAGACGATCCAACGGACGATGGGGAGACGTGGGGATTAAACCTGACCCACAGAAAACAGCCAGCGTCCGGATGAGTGGCGGGCGGGTGGCGGCGGTCACCGGCGTGATGGTCTGGGGGTGGCGTCGACGCGGCGAATATTTGGTTCGCCGTCTCGGCCGCGAGAGTTGCCCGCGTCGCCACCCTCCGCCCCACCCCCCCCCCCCGCTGCCACCGCCACGGACTCGCTTTGCACACGTTCAGGTCACTGTTGGCTCAGCGTCAGATGTCGTTGCTGCGCCCGGCTGTGTGCCCAAGGGACGAGGATATATTTTGCCCTTGGGGAGCGAAATCGTAATGCAGAACAAGCAGATGCGTTTCGAGCTGCGGTGACTTAAACGATTTTCATTCACCCTCACCGCGTGTGATACTTTCGCATCCGGAGCGTCCCTTTGGGGCGGAAGACAGTCAGGGTTCGTCGTAAACACCAAGAAAGTGAATTCCGTGTATTCAATTACTTTAAGTTCTTAAAAACATGTTGAGTGTGGAAAATAATAGATAAGGCAGAGTACGACATTAAAGTTGTAAAATGGGATAATATTTTTTGTGATCCATTTCCCGAAATTCTCCTCGCATTTATAAAAATTAAAATTGGTGGGGTTACTTGTGATTTCAAAGTATCAGCATTTTTTTAATGTCATATTCTTATTCACATGAACGGTGGGACTGATTTCAATGTAATTCCACTGAAAATTAAAGTGTTTTGAAGGGCACAGCTTAGGCCAGTTTTTCAAATTATTTTCTCTTGCGTAATGAGGGAAGTTTGTTTTTCAAATAAATCTTCAGTTTCGTTTCTACGATAATGAAATTTTGTAGCGTAACCTTCTAGATAAGAGGAAATCAACTATTTGTAAGAGATTTCGTAAAAATTACCTGTCCCTCCCTTGTTCCTAAGAACAGTATATGTGTGTGCGCTCTTTTTTTCACACAGATATCTTGAAAATAGTCAGTTAAGTCACTTAAGTAAAATTAATATTTCTGGAAACCCATAAAATTTCCTGTTAAATGCAATTTTACTCATGTTACCTGCGTAATTAGGCTCAGAGTAACTATAGGTCAACAGTGTTTCTGAAAGTTTGCCGGGAGTATGCAATAAGGCATGTTTACAGCTTGCTGTCCGTAGCAGCGATGGCGGTAGCAGAGCGGGGAGGGCAGGGTGGGCCGTGTGGACGCTATGCAATACACCACCATACACTGCACTCATTCCCTTTTTCTGTTTCCTGGTGGCCAATTCTTTAGTTTAAAATGTCTAGTGAATCAGAGATGGAGTTGACACGTCCAGAAGTAATAAATAAAATAAAATATACGTTGTCTACCATGTTCAATTTTTTTCATTATTGATAGAAAACAAACGGTTTTTAATGAGTTGTATTGTGGTTAAAGGAAATGTATTGCTTTCGGAAGTTAAAACTTTTGTACTCCCTCGCAGGCGGCCGGGTAAACCAAAGCCACCTGCGACAAGGTACGGTAGGGAGCTGTCCGCTAGGTGGTTTGGGCTGAATCCTGCATGTCTACTGCCACGAAATGATTCATTGTAAACGTTTAACTTATAAAAGTTACCATTATTCGTAGAAAAAGTACCGTGTGAAACTCGATGTAATGGGTGTTAATACACTCGTGTAAAGTTTACGGTACTCGCTGCTATCGTAACATCACACTCGTGTATTGATATCCATCATTACGTCATCCTTTCTTAATGTACCAGTCGCGTAGCCTCAATGCGGGCGCGCCCGGGTAAAAGATGGCCCATTTTTATTATTTAAGGTCCTAACACTACGCGCTATACACTTTTTGAAGGGGGCCCGCGCTCGTGTCGTTGCGCTGCTGTAACGTACTGTTGCAAAGGGAAGTTGCTGTGTGTTGATGTGAGTTGGGCGTTGGCTGCGCAGACGACCGCTTCCCGCTGCTGGTGGAGGCGCCGGGCGACGCGGTGGTGCGGCGCGGGGGCGTGGCGCGCCTGCACTGCGGCTTCCGCGGCGCCGACTTCACCGAGTGGTTCGGCGACGGGGCGGAGCCGCTCGCCAACACCTCCAGGTGAGGCACGGCCCTCGGCCGCCTGGGCCGTACGGCACAGACATTAATATCACCATCATCATCATTGTCAACGACACTAACAGCGCTAGTTAGGGTCTCGGCCCGTTCCAACACTACGAACACTGTTTTTTTTTTTCATTTTTTTAGTAATAAACTTTATCTGCGTTTAAAATGCATTCTTAGCTCGTTGTATTTACGAATAATAAATATTAAATATATTAATCATTTCTTATTTCTTTCGTTTCTGAAATGACCCAATACTGAGCAGTCTATTGCGTATCTTAAACTCGTATTTCTTTGCCACATTTTGTATTTTCTCCTGCAAACAATGGCTCTCAACTTACCAAACCTTAAGAAATAGTGAGGTGATCTTAATACACATTGGCAACGACCGAGGAGTGGTGTGATTTTGAAATTTTGAATATGAAATGTTATGATATTTATAATATTCACATTTTTCAGAGGTAATAGGTATTACTTATTTCTTCTTACGTTGCTCCCAAAATGCCCATCCATCCTTCAGTGGAACTAGTAAGTAGTTGACAGTATAATTTACAATTTGACTGAGAATGTGTTCAGTTAATCTGTCACAGCATGTTTTAAACGCCTATCGTATTATTTCAAATTACAATTTTAATTGTTTTAATTTGTCTTTTGTCAGGTAATGCGGGAAACGAATACCTCACAATTTATGTACGGACGTAATTTATTAAACTATTCGTGTAAATAAAAGCCCACACAGTACATCGTATGTGGCACGAACACCTTAATTCATCACGAAAATGTAGGAGATGCAGATTTGAAGATTGGGAGAGTCAGTTTTGTGATTCATTGAATTTGGAATCAAGACCTTATATGGTTCAAATAAAGTATCCGTCCTTCTCCTGTATCTTCACGATTGTTACTTTTGCGTTATACGAAAGGTAAAGAAGCTTATGAAACCTAAGTTCTAACTCTTGCGTCACCGTTCATGGATGTCACAATCAGATTCCCAATATTTGTACTCCCTCCTTATGATCCTATCGTCAATATCGTCACTGAATACCATCACGGTTGTCAGTTTTGCAGCCTTCATACTTGTACCACACATTAGGTTGCCACAGACTCCGTGGTCTCCATTCCAGCAATGACGCCCTTGGCGTGTCCGGAATAATCTTGTTCTGTTGCCTCTGCATCTGAACAAAATATCTATAGTTCAGTGTTACTATCATCATATTTAGCCCTCTTTTTCATTTCAACTTTCTCGTTTTTTTCTTATCCATCTACTCCAATTAGCTTAGGCAGTACATTCCATTATTACCATGACGTATGCATCTTAAGTGCTTCTTTTATAGTATTGTAGGAGCAATCACACGTACTTCAAATGTCATTGATACCTTCTCTTGGAGACGCTTGCAACACACGCAGACCCAAGGAACAGACGCCGACTCATGTCTCTGGGAATTAGATTCAACATTTTCAATGCCATGAGCCAGCACGTTGCAGGCTGAACAGGCAGATGCAGTAGTTGTGCTGTGGTCGTTATTTCTAAGCACCCTACATTATCAAATTTTTCAGGTCGTGAAACATGTGCTTTAATTACTTTTACCGCAGTGCGCTCCCACCTACAACAGTGCATTCCTTCAGAATCACCGCAACAAGTTCCACCCCTTCACTTTTTTTGGCATCTCTCGCCCATTTGATGGAAAACATTGAAGGAGACCGCCTCGCCGGAGGGGAAAGTCAGTCCCTCCAAGACCGTCACGCTCCCCTCCGAAGTGTGAGGAGGCGAGGATAAACCATCGTTTCACTACATCCACCTCACCTTCACCGTCTTGTCCAGCTCCCCCCACCCCCATCCCTCGGCGTCGTAAAGCAACGCACCCGAATTCGGAAGCGGGCGGGCGGCGCGCGCAGCCTCACGCGATCTCGCATGTGGCGGAGGTGGAGGTGGCGCCGACAGAGCGCGCGTTTGGCGCCGGCCGCACGCCACCGCTCGCGCACTGGGCGCAGCGCCGCACAGAAAGGAGCGGGAGAACAGTGAATTAAAAAAACACACACACACATTTGAATAAATTATGAACAACCAAGTTGATAAATAAAAATCAACCTAATAAATATACAATAAAAATACAAAAATATATAATAAACAATTAAATAAATTATAACTACCAAATTAATTATAAACATCGAAATAAATTAAGAAATATTCATGGATAGAGGGAGAAATGTGCACAATTAATCGTTTTTTATCTCAACACGTTCATTACCTTAATATTTACCTCTATTGTTTCTTCATCTTCAGGTTAAATCTTGCATCCGTCAAATGTTTTATTCTTCGCACTTATATCGCCTTGTGTGCGCCATCGCACTCATTCTGTTAGCCGGAAAGTGGGTGAGTGGGGAGCGACGCAGCACCTCCGTTTCAAGGGTTGTGCTTTCGACTTGTATGTTAAGATATTGTGTGTGTGTGTGTGTGTGTGTGTGTGTGTGTGTGTACGCGCGTGCGTGCGTGTGTGTGTCGGGAAGTAGTCGGCGTACACATACTCTAAAGCGTACAGTCCTAATTCAAACAAATGGTGACATAATGAAATCCCACGACTAATAGCATGGACTTTTATTTTGCGCAAATGAGCAAGCCATTCTACGTGAATTGTAGCCTAATCGGAGCACAGTGAACGACAACATTACCCTAACAAGATCGTCAGCGGCTGCTCCCGCGCTGACGCGGCAACCGCCAGGGGGGTTGTCGCACGAGAGAAGCAACTGAAGGCGCGTGGGCGACGCGTCGCACAAGAAATCAGCACGAAAAGGAGCAAACATTCTGGATGTAAATATTAACAACTGTTGTAAGCTACGATGAATGATAACAGCGATATTTCAAGTTGTATACCTTTTCCTTGAAATATAATAAAGACAACAATATATCGTACAGTTCATGGGAATGCACAAATCCAATAATTCAAAAATCAGGTCGAATCGAATAGGCGGAAATTCGAATTATTTGATAAAACTTGAAAGTCGTGTATACAAACGTGTAAAAAACGTCAGGTAGAGAGAAAAATTAACTTCAAATCATGACCTAATAATCGTACAATAAAAACAACTGTGAATGTTGTAAGATTTACAGTATTTTTCAATTTCACCGTATTGCAGTGATTAACATTTTTAGTTTTATCTTCTTTCCTCCCCTGATGGATTCGAGTAACTCGAGATTTGAATTACTATTGAGCTTGGAATAATCGGAGCACTACTGCGCTGCATTGAGAGATGAAACGTTTTGCAATGTGGGTAATGAAGGGGCGCCTTCCGCCGTGCCGTTTCGGCCCACTGCCGCGTTCACGCGACCCGCTGCCCTCGTGAGCTTGCTGGAGGAGCTCCCGGGTCGCGCGCGTGCGGGACACTTGCTCCGTGTTTCCGAGAACTCTTCTCTCACTTTTATGTGGAAATACCGTGTTCTTGGCTTGAATCTCGCAGGTACAATGCCCTGTTCGTTCGACGGTTGTCCAGAATGTACGAGACACGCTACGGATAAATGAAAATTGGGAAGTCCATGTTCAATACTCTACCAGTGTAATTTAGGTTTTATTCTTCTCTGTTCTTATAAAGCATTTTACTTTTTATCGTTCTTACAGTCTGTGACAAAGGCAGACTATATAGTCTATTGTAGTGGAGGCAAAAAGATAGGAACAGTGTCAATACATTAGTAATAAAATAGTTTGTGCGATTTTTCGATTGCGATTTATAGAGAAACGCTGACCATTGAAGTGACGATGAAGGCGTGAAAACATCGACACTATTTTCCCAATTACTTAGACTTAAAAAATATCTTGCACAGTCAAAAATAACGTTAAGAATTTTATCGTTTTTAACCCCTCATATTTCTGAAAATAATTTCAATCGCTTTACTTGAAAATGATGTAGCATATTCTTTCCACTACATCAATATACTTGTAATTGTATTCGACGATATGTTTGCTCAGATCTTCCCCAATATTCGCTCTCGTACGCACGTTCAAACAATAAATTTAGCAAATGTTCGTCCATTATACTTTTCTCCAATTGTTTTCTTTCGGTGCCTTTTTCCGGTGTTCAGAGGATGCCCATTTCGCCTTTCTACGCGTGGTACCCACTACGTCCCTCGTGGGGACACACATTAACCATTTACACTAAACACACATGCGGGCTCGTCAGCCTGCCGTCGCAGTCTCACAAAGCCTTCCGCGACAACGCACATACATGACAACGCACAAACAAGCAAGCTGACTGCGGGAGTCGAACACGCGACCCTTCCAACCGAGACACTGAGTCGGCACGCGCTCCTGCCACCTCGGTCCTCCAGGTCAGCGTTCTCCGAATTATGTGAATCTCAAAATTCGTGTTTTAGTTCTCGCAAATATAAATGACTCCGTGCTGGGGTTCGTTGCACGAATGTCTTCACTCCCTGCCCCTTCCCACGACTCCTAAAGATCGCGGGGCGCCGGCGCTCGCGGACCTTCTGGGGCGAGAAAAGGGGCCTTTTTAGAACTAACCTCATTCTAGCTGAATGTAACTATTCTTATATCGCATGTTCATAACATGTTTAGCTTTTTGTACTTCTTTATTCATGTCTAGCTCGCACGCACACACATGCGTAACAAACACACTAGCATTCTTTCTTATACGTAAAATACATTTTTTTTAAATGATGTACACGCACACTCGTTCAACACGTTACATTCCCACTCATTTGGCTGTGTGCGCTGTTCTTGTTGGTCACGCGGCAACGGTGCGGTTGACGGCGAGGCGCTCGACGAGGCGGCGACATGTGTAAAATCAGTGAATTAACGAACGTAATGGGGTCTTGGGCAGCTATCCGTCATCGCCGCCGCACTCGCCACACGCCTCCCAGCCCATCGCCCCACTCCTGCGCTTCGACTCCTCTCGAGAGAACTCTAATAAATGCATACATCTGAATCATTTGGACAAAGAAAACACGTGCGCAATGCACTTTTTTTAAATTAAGAATTACTTGAGAGCAGTTACTAAAGGAAGTGAAACTCCCTGTCAAGGCCACATTCTTATTTGGTGGTTAAATGTAGGACAGTTTGGAGCTGGCTGAAATTGAAGATTGTACGTTTAATGGCAAAACGGAGCCTCGCTAAATTGGAAATTCGCGAGAAAAGGGCGGCGAAATTGGTGATTCTCCTGCTAAGCCGGAACTTAACCGCAATGGCTTCGCCCTTTTTAAACCTTCCATTTTCATCTAGTCACTTTCACAGGTCTCCTTCATCATCCTGTCCTGTTCGTCCATTCTCTCTTTAACACACCTTCGATTCTCATCCTGGCTCCCTGGAACACTCCACGCCTTTCTGTCGCCCGCCCCGCACGCTCTGCATTCGGCACCTGGCTCGCCGCCCTGGTGAACGCCCTCGCCCCCAGCCTCCGGCTCGCCCTACTCCGGTCGCTGCCTATGCCCTCTCGCCTGTCGCACTAGCTGCTCCGTCTGCCCAACGCCTCCTGACTCGCCCTCCGAGCTGCTGACCTCGCTTGCCCCTGATCTGCTCGCCCGCGCCTACACCTTTTTCCTCCTGCCTTTCGTGCTCTAACCTGCCCTGTTCGCCCGCCCGGTCCTCCCTGACGGGTCTAAGACGTCGCGTCGCGCCCGCCGCGCCTTGTGCGTTTTCATGGGAGGAGACACGCGGCAGCGCGGCCGGGTCGTCGCGCGGCCGATAAAGGCGCCCGGGGCGGGGGTGGCGGTGGGGGGGTGGGGCGGAAATTGCGGGTGTTGGTTCTTTCTTGTCGTAATTGAAGAAGGCGGGTGGTTGATTCTA